AGTAAATTAAATTCGTGCTCAAGCCCTAGTGCAGCTGTAGGAAATTATTGTGGGACAGATTTTTCACTCCCACTCTTACATTAAGTGAGAAAGAAGCGTTAGTATTGGGTTCAATCTTTACACACAGTCAGGTTGAATTGCAATCTGGTATTAAGTGCGCCAATTATTTCAAGCAAATTAAATGCAATGCAACATTTCCGCAATGTTCAAGTGATAGAACAACTCTGACTTATGTCAATATTTCCAATTTATGCGCTCAATTTCGCAGCGAATGTTCCAATACTTCTAATGTTCCCGCAGAATGTACTTATCATCGGCCATCAGAGCCGAAATCAGTTTATAATCTAAGTGCGTGTATTAAGCCCACGTCAGCTCTTCACTTTCATGGCAATGATTGTCCACCTAGGCCGAAAGATTTAACCATTCCAGAATGGTTTAATGATGACAGAAGTCAACTTCAAGTCATTGCCATACACGTTCCTGATACTTTGAGATCCAATGGTGCATCGGAAAGTTGCATTAAGAAAGTGCTTAGTTATGGATGCCATGAAATTCCTTTCTGTTCTGCCGATCGTACTGAACTCTTGAGTGCTGGAAATCAGCAAAACTGCCAAAAAGCACTAACATGGTAAGAAAGTTAGGAATTAAACTAAGGCTAAATACTAATTTTGTAGATTAAAAATGATTTTATGGCCACACTTACAGTATAAATATTTGAAATTAATCGTTTCTAAGCCTTTGTTTCTTGATCTGAGTATAACTTAAAGAATAGATTTATGTAAAGCATGTATTCCGATATTATCCGTAATAATATACGTCTATATAAAAAAAATTGACTATTTTATAGCTTTGAAATTAAACATACGCGATTTTATTTCCATTTTTAGTGTGCCTTCGTCCATACTACAATTTACCAAGGGTAGTATCAAATGCTCAGCGTTTCCTAATGCAACAGCACCAACAACAACGATTCCTGCCAATATGGGTTATGTCTCATCTGCAGTTACATCATTCGTGCATAAAACGTTATTGTTAACATTTGCATTATTAATTTGTTTGATAGTATAAATTTGGATATTCTACCGCTAATGATTACAATAGGCTATACCGCGAGTATTTCTTTACTAATGTTATCATTAGACGTGTACCTTATTTAATCGTCCTTGGTTAATGCTAAGCGTTCTATAACTACATACTCGTATGTTTACCAGCATATTTACGAATATTTGATCCTGAGTGATACATGCACTGTACGTAGGTATATTATTATCAGTTTCGAAAAGGGATATTAACTGTCGTTGATTTATATTTTCAATGTTACAATATAGTTCATGCTAATCAGCAAAAATTTAGTTCTTGAAAAGACGACCTTCATATTAGCAACTTTAAGCTTTAATTAGGTTTGTACGGTTTATCCAAAATGTCTATGACAATTAGGATTCTTCAAAAAATCCAGTTATATGTAATCGCTCGAAGGCCAGTAAAACTAGCTCTTACTATATATGCGTGCATTTGCAATATTGGAAGTAAAACCGTTACATGTTGTTGAAATATGAATTGTAATTTTCCTTTTGGCATTTGGCACTAGTGTAAGTGTTTAAAGCTGCTATCGAGACTAGCAACTAAAAATTTGGTATCTATTTAAGTTAGATGTACATCGCTAAGAAATGGATATCATGTTATACTAGCTATTTAAGTTATCCCAAAATCATTGTCTGCCACACAATATCTACTTTTACCGATAACTAGGTGATGTTATTAAGGCAAGATAGAGACTAACTTGCAATTAATTGACAAATTAAAAATATCATCAGCTTTAATTTACAATAAATAAGTATTTACAACAGATGTCCGTCTGTATCAAATTATTAGATATACACTTTAGCTATCGGTTTGTATTCGGCAAGAGAGAGCTACCACCATCGATAATGCGCATAAGCTCTATTTGATTCCGCGATTTTATGTAATTCTATCTTCTTTTTTACTACTGCTCCCTAAATAATGTAAATCCATAAGTATTACGACTAATTCAGCTTAGCTCAGTTAAAACAATATTGCACCACATTAAAAGAATAATTTTCATTGAAGCAAGAGTACGCATACTCAATGCATAGAAGATATTATATATTCTAGGTATGCAAGATCGGGGTAAGCATTGAACGATCCCATCTAATAACGTATTTGTATGTTCTTCAAGTGCAAATAATATCAATTATAAACATACGAGTATATACCTCATTATTGTAGGCGTTTAAAAATTCTTTGGCTAGCTTTTTTGACATCCCGTTTTCCTTTCCTGACCTTGCTATAGTAATAAACCACTTAATTGCTAAAAAATATCGACGTCTCTCCTTCAATGGTATTGGTACCTAAAGTTGGACAAGAGCACAGCTCAATACAATATACTGTATTTTTACGACGTAACACCTTATCATTTGGCATGCAATACTGTATTTAGTTCTATCTGATTCTAAATCGTATTTATTTAATTAAAGCAATGAATTCCTAAGTGAGGTGATCATATCTTCGATTATGCTGTACTTGGTAAGATTTTCCACCACGTTTGATGGTTTGTACTCCAATAATTGGTTTGGCGTTATCAATTGCTCCATGAAAGATTTTCATAGGGTTCATCACAATATTTGAGTCGTCAGGATTTGAACCATACCTAACAGTTACAGCATCGGATATTGTAAGATTTTTAAATATAAATACCCAATTAAAATAAAAAAAATAATGTATATAAAACAAAATACGTTAGGCATGATAGCGCAATGTACTGTTTCTCTCATCAATATTACGACATTACGTCAAACACGTTGCCCTCTTTGTGATATGGAAATTTATTGACATTATAGACTTTGGGAAATTTACTTTGATTGTCAATTGCAAGCAGTTTTATATTGCTCAGTTTACAAAAGCAAACTATATTCGTAAAAGAATTAATAGCAGTAAGATTTCCATTGGTGTACTGTAAATATAAATATAAGGATCGATTGCTCTTTAATTAATTTAAACAACGTATTGTGAAAATTAAAAGATTACAAATAATCATTAAATTATGTGCTACTAATGCTACCAGTTAATGGCTAATAGAGAAGGTAAACGTACTTTTCAATCTGAGATTTTTTTACCATTTCTAGCGCCTAGAAAAACATTGATAATTCAAAGAAGTTACTTTGACTGATATAAAATTAGGCTAATTTATAATGGGATATTTATGATAGCTACCTCATTGAATATCCGCCTTGATAATGATTTCTTTCCATCATACATCATACAATTTACAAATTTGCTATTAAAATGTTAACAGACATACAATAACATTAGCTCTGAATAAACAGTGTAGAGATTGAAAGTAGTTCGAACTATATCCATCGAGGTACTACAGTAGTATACTTATAAGTATTAAATGGAGATCAATTTTACTGCGTTACAGTATTGGATCACAGCGTTACCAATTAGACTTTTCATCTATCAGTATCAACTGGATCGGGTGACGTTGATAACTGATGTACAACAATTCTGTACATTATTATAACTTACTGAGCGACAGGGTCATTGACTGCAGTAGGTCCAGTTTGAGAATCAGCAGCTTTAGGCTTTCTCGTTGCTAGTTGGCTCTCCGGATTTTCTGCATTGGAATCTGATTCAGTTTGTGCTATTTGGCTAAATTGAAATGGATATAATAGGATCCAATCGGTTAATATACCTGCACTAGAAATTGCATTATGGTAGATAGAAGCAGATACATTAATCTATAGTACAACATATCAATTTACTTATCCACTGAATCATCAAGTTGAGCTAACTGTTCAGATAGATCAGCGGCTGCTGCAGATTGTTGCAACGGATCCTGTTGGTTACTTGCAAGTAGGTTTGAACTCTTTTGCAAGATCAAGCTACTATTGGACCAAGGATAAATGGATATTGGAAAATTAACCAATGCCGTAACTAATTTAGATAAAAATTTATCACTTACCTAGTACATAGCCAAGACCGTTGATATGTTATCCATTTTAATAGAGAGGAAAAATGAGTTTTATTGAAAGATTTGGTAGAACAGGAGAATAATCTTGCTGGCAAAGAGCTAGCCATGCTTTCAAACTGCAACCTGAACGCATGCGTAAAGGATCCTAATAGACGATATTCTGTAGAGGAGTACAATATATTCCAGATGAACTGAATGAGTATGCATACTATGCATAGTATAAACCAGCTTAGCCTTCCTGGTCTGTCCTTAATACAGTGACTGTCCATCTGTATGTAGTCAGCATCATGGAGAACCAAAAGCCCAACCGTAAACTACTCAAAATATTGTATATCATGATCTATTTAGTTGTTTAGTGACCAGAGAATAGCTCTTCTCTTACCCCTAGCGTCTATGTGGGCCATAGAGGTAAGAAAAGAGGACCTGATGTACTGTACTGCGCGAAGAAACTTGTATCAGTGCAATGCACCGCTACTGCAGAAGTTTCCTTGATCCTTTTCTTTAAAGGATTTAAAGACTCTAAACACGGATTACTAATGTTAAGAATAATCTAATCCATGCCCCAGTGCTGAACTAACACTACTGAAAAGGGACTATAGCTAATTTTAGTCAATCCTTTTAACAGTTGGGTACAGAATAGCAACAGCATACCACCATGGATTTGCTAAATACGTAAGCAATCATTACTTTTCCATCATGATTTCATTCAATCTGAGTAGTTCTATGTCCATCAGATCATTGTACTTACTTTACCCATATCCTAAACTATTGCGTCCTGTAATCTAAAGACTCTATGCTATGAACGATCTCGACTCAAATCCTTTGAAATAGTTTAAAAAAGAGCTGCAGTACAAGTGGATTTGCTAACTACAACAATTGTTTTACCTGGATGGCTTGATCTAATCTATGTGAAACATGCGATATCCAATCACCTTTCAATTACAGTATCTTTGGTACAATTATTGTATCCAGTAATCTAAAAATTTTATATTATGAAAATCTCGACTCTTGCAGTTAGCAGTCAATAACATTGCGAAAACGCGATACCGAATTTCAGTTATCTATAAAATTTATCGCTTTGCGGATGATACATAATAGATGAACTGATCAACAACAACAGGAATATGATTGTAAACTAGAAAACAGTGCTAGCTCAAAGTAAATATCTAGAAAATCATTGATTAAGAAACTAACAAAATAGTACCGGATTAAATTAGTAAACATTACTTAACAACACAATGATAGGAAATTATGATCATATTGATATTGATAATAGTAATATTAACAATAATAATAATTAAAATCATGATGATACTAATGGCTAGAATAGTCAATCCTATTCCTAAGATTGAGCTTAATTAGAATACAGCAAATTCAACTCATTCAGTTGGGTTAAGTAGACACATAACGTTAAGAGTACTACATGTGCGATAAAATATTAAAATCAAAAATTGTAATATATATGTATAGTCTACAGAATAATGATGACATAGTTTGATCAATACTTATGATAATTAAAACCGATATTAAACAAATTGATTTACGGTATATTACATTCTTATCCAATAAAATGGCAAGTGGAAGAGAAGCAGTAAACGTGGAATAATGTTCATTACAGTTAATATTGCCCGTCGTAGTTCATATAATAACTACGTAGTGGGTATCGTCCAATAAGTTAGGAGCACGAATTAACTACCTGAAGCAAGGATCAAACATCGGCTAGTTCTTGCCTGCTCTATAGATAATTATCTCCATTAATTACAATTATATATTCATTATTAATCAATTTATAATGATCGGTTAATCTACTACGTTCAATATTAATCAAGATTTATGTCGTAGAATTAATCAATAGCAGTTATTAATATTGTTAAAAAAACTACTAATGATTACGTCAAACATTTAAATAACTTTTACCGAAATTTATAGCTGAACAATAAATTAATAGGAGCAACTTATCCGATCATTTTAATATGACATAGAATGGTAGAAAACTTAACTAATACAAATTAGCTATCTCCTATGTTGGCCAGAATGTGACTGTATTTTTATATATTTATATAATAGTAAACATAAATATTAATCGGTAAAATGGAAAGGAGTGAAAGTTGTAAACTCCGATATACCAACTTCATAATATAGTCCCACTCTATTATACCATTAAAGGAAGAAATATGTATCCTCTTATTTTATCGACCTAACCGATTGCAATTACTTGATTATAAGAAATTGTAAATGGTAGCTAGAATCGACCTTTGTAGAAGTTTTCTTCAATAAATGTCGACAATTAAGTCATACAGTCGAAATAATCTTATAGATTTGCACTGATGATATAAACAATATAAATTATCCGTGGAAATTCAAGATGGTAATCGAAATGGATTTTAGGTTTTGACTATGGGCGGAATAATGCGATAGACTTGTAATGATGATATGACAACATAGACTATCCACAATGTAACCAAAAGGAGGCCAGAAATGTATTTAGATTTGGTTGGACCGCCTAATTCGCTACCCCCAAAGGATGGAATTATTCTTCTTAACATTAGAAGAGCAATACAAATGACAGCACAGATGGTAAATAAAATGACACTCGAAGCAAGATTACCAGCAGGAACAGCGAATTCCTTATTCTAAATTAGCCAAAGGCAAGAAAAATAACAACGTTAAGAAATATAAAATCACAAAATAATTTAAAACACTCATCTAGGAGAAAAGGTACTATTCTAAGTTAATTTTGTATCATTTAATAACACTAACGTTATGATATACCTGTGAATTCCAATAGATAGTAGCAATGAGCCATGGTAATCCTAAACCAAGGAAGACATTGACCGAATTACTACCAGTAACATTACCAATAGAATTATCGGCATATTTTTCATTCAAAGCAGCTGTTTTGCTAGCAAACAAATCGGGTAAACTTGTGCCTAATGCAACAAATGTAATGGCAGTAACTGCATCTCTTAAACCAACAATACAGCCAAATATGCCTGCTAAATCACCAACAATAGCAGTTAAAAATCCGATCATGCCAAGCGATGCGATGAAAGTAAGCCAACCACCTAGCATCGAAGGTGGTGGTATGATGGCAAAGATAACCTATTGGTAAGAAATTAAAAATAACCATATTTTAAATATAAAAATATCTCGACTAAAAAATAGTTTTATGGGAATGGGTTCCAATATAACTTAATAAATTCATTTTATAGTAGTATGCAATAGTTATGATTGATCATTCTTATTCGTCAATTAACTTATTTTGAATTACCTTCCATCCAAACGTTAGGAAATGCAAGAAATAATCCATTCCTGTTGCATTCTCAACATCACCACCATTAACAGTCATTGCATTAGTGAATTGTTCTCCCCAACTTTGAGAGCCCAGTTTCAAACGATGGACATTAATACGCGTTAGCGCCACAACTTTATCCAGCAATGAATTATATACTAATAAAATAGATTGAAAAAGATAATACCATAATAAGATAGGCGACCAAGGTATCACTCTATAGCTAAATATCATACAGCTGATCAATGTTATATTGAACTATGTCAATGGGAAAAACCGATTGCACTATTTTAAAATACTTTATCCGTCCTATTCTATTTACCGTCATCATTAACAATAGTTAAGGCTGTTCTAGTACGTGAACCTAATTTTGCACCACCATTTGGATCGAATAATTCAATATGGAAGGTTTCATCATTTTCAAAAATGTCATCATCAATCAGAGGAATCTCGATTAATTTACTCATTTCACCATGCTGAAATTCGATTTTACCGGTACCACCTCGATAATCTTTGCCATTGATAGCCGAGCCGTCAATTGTTTTCCAATTGACGCTAATAGTTCCATCACTACCATTTTTACGAACGATCTCAACTTTAGCAGTACCGCAACTTTCTTTAAATAAATAGCTAGCTTTATTAAAGGCAATTTCACCTGGCTCTAATAAAATAAATCAAAATCCATCATTATGACTCAGATATTACAGTCTGCGTAATTGAATCACATGATATTGATCACTTAATATTGCAATATAAATTAAATAACCACGAGATAAATGATTTCTATGATGATTTTTATACTATGCTTGCAAGGGGCTTACCATCGTCATTAATAATTGTAATTTCAGTCGAATTTTTTTCACCAATAATGGCATCATCATAGGACCCTTCTAGCCATATTTGAATGAAAAAATTTTCATCTGGTTCCCACTCGTTGTCGTCAACAATTGGAATAGTTACGTATTTAATTTTTTCGTTTGGCTCAAATACGAGTACATCATTTTGTGGTATATAGTCTTTTTCCGGTTCTGCAGTTCCAGGCAATGTTTCGTATCTGTAATTGAATTTAAAATCAGGTTATACTATATTCAGTTGCTCGTTTTACATCTACCTTATACTACTATCATGATAATATTATCAGAATCCAACCGACTAATGTTATGGAGTCGTATTGTGCCTGTATTGTATTACAATCTTATTAATACCTGTAGCAAAATCTACACAATAAGTCAGATTAATTTACTTGATATACCGGTAATGATGAAAGGTTGGACTAATTTTAGCAATAGGTAAAAACGACAAATTTGCATATACAATTTTAATGCTCATGTCAAATTTTATATTGTGAATCTAATCAATCTTCGTAGATGCACCGATGGAAGCTCAGATTATATTTTGATAACGGTAGAAGTGAAAAATTTATACCTGAGATTTAATATATAAATTTATAAATGGTATCCAGTCTACAATAAAACTTAATTATTAGCTCTTAGCCTTTTTATGGGCTATTGCTCTGAATTCAAAAGACAGTAAAGTAATAAAGGGTGAAATGGAATCTTTAGTTAAGAGTTTTAGCAGGAATTATTATCGATTATGATTAACTAGATCAAGTAAAAGGCAAAATATAGGTGATAAATTACGTGTTAGTATTCATTGATTGAGAATATTGCTATGACGGAGCATCGAGTAAGGTTGCAAATACTTAATACAGAATCAAAATGACTAAATAAGAAATTTTATTATTGTTACTAGAAATAAAATGTAATATTCTTTAATCAACCTACCTCACTTTAATTGTGTTGTTCAGCTTTCCAGTTCTTGAAATGCCAACTTTGACCATTTTTTCATTTTCCATAACTGCACAAGCAGCCGTAGTGAATTCGATAGTGGTTCGTGTTGTAGCTAGGACAATTATAAATCACTATAATTAATATTCAGTCTCCTTACCATTAAAATGCAATAGGAATAAGATTTGATATCCTAAGTTAACTACTGTTGTAAAATGAAGTAAAAGATTGATTTAATTTAATTTAATATAATGGATGTATTGCTTCAAACTATCAGTATGTCTATTCATTAATCAGCATGACTTTGTATAGAAGGAATAAATTAAAAACACCTGGTCCAGTTCGATAATCTTGTAGAAATAATTGCGTTATTGTATAATACCCTATTTATATTTCCCATGGTATTAACTAGAAGCTATTTTACTAATTTATTATAGAGAGAGAGACGTATATCTTGAATTTACATCCGTATCTATAACTAAAACCCGTTATAAATTGTCTCTACATTTTTAGGTCGAAAATGTTGATGCACTACATTATTACTACTAATAATTTCCACATCTTACTTTCTGGATCGTCTCGAACATCGGCAGTTGAAGAAAATTTCTTATTCTTCATTTCAATATCGTCAAAAATCTTTTAAGTTATTGAATTAAGGAACATTAAAATACGATATCACGCATTAATTGGAAAAAAAAACTGAAGCGCTATGTGCTAACTTTGTAATCGAAAGTAAACTAATGGCATTCAAGACAGGGAATTGGCTTTTATATCGTCATAAAATGAACGTATCTATTACAGTTTGACAGAGTAGCTTTTATAGTGGTATTAACGATCAAATAGTTGGAATGAAGAGCATTTAATCACTTTTAAGTACTAATGTGCTTTATATTTGTATTAACTAAACGCTCCTGTCATCAATGTCATACTTTGCGTACTCTTAACTGAGCCTACGTTACTCATGATCATCCTAATACTATAGTTAAATTAACTAGCTAATCGACCATGTCTAGATTACAGTTTATCATCTGTTGTTGTAGAATATAGGAATTTAATAAGTCAAAAGTAATTAGAACGTGTAGTATACTGCCAAAAATACTCTCATAAAAGAGTTAAATAAGTAGTTCATTGTACCTTCTGCAATCGAGCATCTAATAATGGCGTTACACGCTTAGATCCAGATACCAGACGAGCCGCTCCGACACGATACCAAATATAAGATTTTTTCTCCTGTTCTTGTAACTTGGCAGCAGCTAATTTTGCGGCTTCTTCTGCGGTAATATCAGTTCTAGTTTTAACAGCCTTGAAGATTAAAGATTGGGGAGATAAAATGGGAAATTGTTAGTTCTTTATTTATATACTACCTATGTATCAGGTGCTGTATAATACTGTAGGCTTATGTAGGCATAGATGCCTAAGCAAAAGCCATTTATATCAAATTTTAAAGTTTATCTGCAGCGTAACTATCCAGAAACGTCATCAAATTTACCTTCAAGAAGGAATTTGCCGAAGATTTATCAAAGCTATCAGGCACAAGGCGACCAGTACTATCATCTATCAATAAATAAAATCCCAATAAGGAATTTTTAGTGTGGTATTCTCAGTGAACTATAATTAATACCCATTTTAAGTTACGCCAAGACTTAAAGTCAATTAAGAGATACCGTTTTCAATAATGCTAGTAAGCAGAACTAAGCTTATTTTAGCTCAAGTTACGTTATAATAGAGTATATCTGAAAAGGAAAATAAATCTATTGAACATGACAATATCAGTCCCGTTTTTATAGCCGATAAACTTTGATAGAACAAGATAAAGTCAATACTAGCATAGCCAGTTTTAATGTCTTAACTAGTGAAAAAATGAACCTCTATATAGCTTACATTCTGGACTAAAAGTGTAGAACCTATGCCAGTTATGAGCATCAATGTTTAATACATTATTTAAAACTAAGTTTATAAGTAATTGAAATAAAGTCATACTCGCCAAATTGCGATATCAGGGCCGTACAACTAAGGGAATCTCATTACAAATTAAAATATACGCAGTATAGAAAAATAGTCTTGTATAATATGATGGAATGTGTTGTGAAAAGGCAAAGTAGATGTAGGTTTATCAATTAAAATGACTTAAAATGTTGCAAATGAAATCTTTAGCAAAAATAAGATTCTCTAGATGGCTGCTGTTAATTGACGACATATATCATGATTAATGGTACGTATAGGATAGGGGTGCCTTTATGTAAATACAAGTCTACATTGTAATAAACTGAAATGGCGTCAGATTTAGGATTTCCATTGAAAAAATCGGAATAAATTTTGGGAATGGGTACATACGAGATAAAAATTCAGACTACAAATGGTTTGTTCGATTCATTTTAAACACTTATGCAAAGATTTTGCCAGAAATAGCAGCCCAATATGCTAGGATTTCCTACTTTTAGTGATCATAGGCTGAGTTTCGAAAAGTTTCAGTCTAATAGGAGCAGCTAAAGATATTGCTGGATAAACAAATAACTACTAAAAGGTGGATAAAGTAGGGCTAGTCGTATAGCTAGGATTGATAAATGCTTGATTTCTGAATCATTGAAATGAGTACATATTTACTAATAGAGTCAGGATTAATATATGCTTGACAATGCTACCTCAGAATAATCGTAATGAATTAGAAATTCTGTTAGTCTAGTTTGCATTATGATCGGAAATAGCCATTTTGCTATCAAAGCTAAGTGGAAAACTCTATAAGAATTCGTTAGCCTAATATTAGTAACTACAGACAAATTACTATCGAAGATAACACCTTAAAGAAAAATTTATATAAACGTGATAGTAACATGATAGAATTCATAATATTAATTAATTAATCATATGAAAATAGGAAATCTCTGTGTAGCTAATTAGCTTGCAAATGGATATATCGGATGGGCACACCGGAAAAGCAAAGTTTTTCATTTCGAAATTGATCTTATTACTTTAGCGTTTAATAAAATAACGTTATAAATCACAAATGGAAAACTCAAGGGTGATGAATTCGTGCTATATTAGTAGACAGCAATTCAGTGATTTAAGTCTTACCAAAAGCAAGATGTCCATTTTCAGTATCGGAGATTCGCCTGGCCTTTCTTGGACAGAAAAAATTACGATCAACGAAATAACTGATCAAGACCAAGACAAAAAAGAAGCATAGGGTAATAATTGCCTCCGTTAAATCGACAATATTTTTCGTACGAGCAACTAATACAATGTATAGCCAAAGGTAAGCAAATATACTAAATGTTGCTGTCACAGCGAAAACTTTAATTCCTTTAATTCTTCTTCCCTCTGGATTAGGAATTGCCACAATACACGTTGCCGTGATCACTAACAGATTAAAAGCGGCTGAACCAACAATTGTACCCGGACCTAAATCGCCTGCTTTAAAATTATTCCCCACAATCTCAATAATTGAGAGTAAAATCTCTGGTGCAGAGGAACCTAATGCCATTAAGGTTAAATTGGCTACTGTATCATTCCAAATGCGCACTTCAACTTCTTTCATGTTGCCATCTTTATCGGAAATTTTAATTCGTCGCGTTTGACTAGTAATAACTTCGATAGCACACATAAAAATATCTGCAATGATAGCAACTCCCAAAAAAGAATATAATAATCCAGCCAAATAGAGAAATCCACGAAAACCTTGATTCCAGTTGCTTTCGTCCAAGATAGGCAATAGCAGCCCTGTTTTATTACAGTACGACATAATTTAGCGCTTTTTATTGCCAATGCAATTACTTTTTTCTTGATATTGATGTGTTCTATACTGTAGAATAAATAATTATTCTACCCTATTCTTTTATGATTTGAAATGAGCGCTGTAGGATAACAAGTAACCAGCGAATAGTCGTAATATTATTTAATGATGGTCTTGAAGGAAGAAAGTATACAACTTTTCAACCGATATGGTAAGGTTTTAACCTTCCCAATTATGAAAGATCCAATCTCAATTTCACGAATTATTTGATTTATGATTCTGTCAATTAGATTGAAGGTGTGTACAGAATTATTGATTCTACAAGCAATAATAAAAAAAGTAGTAGGTAAGTAGATGAGATCAGATAGTCAAAATTATTTCATGAATTTACACATTAAAATTATACATTTTATAGTTAGTTAGGGAAAGAGACGAAGGATATAAAGGAAAGTATACAAATGAATTGGATATCAATATCGAAATGTAACATGAACCAATCAATGGAAGACAATTTTTATAAAGAAATTCTAGAACATCAAATCGGTTTCATGGCACTACAAGCACTATACTCTCACTCTTTCAATAGATTAATAATCAACCTACTTTTTATAAATGTAAAACAAAAAAAATAGAAAATTTGATCTGTTTTAGCTAAATTTTAATCTAACAAATTTTGACTTTCCTTTACAGTACTTAATGTTTTCTTGTCGTTTATAGTCTAAACGGATGGGTACTAATTGTGGAATTAAGATAACTGTAGCCTCGTGTATGAAATAGTCATAATGAAACAAGACTGAGCCATGGATAAATAAGATAAATTATAGCCATAATTTGTCATTATTGATGCCGATTTTAATAAGACAGAAACTTATAATGAAGCGATATAATTTATCTAACTTACTTTGATTTAATTTTGAATAAATCAAGCTTAGATTTAATTACACCTCGGTCGATCCTTCTCCACTCGCCCAAAATTCAACTTGTCCGATAGTAATATAAAGGTAGTGAACGTCTATACTTTGACGAACACAGGTTATGCTATCGCAACTGTATGCTTCATTTCAATAGACTGCTGCTATTAAGCTATACTATTCAATATGGCAGATCAGCTGAAAGGACCAATTTGAATGTCATCAGAATAACTTAAGAACATCATTATTTTGCTGATGAAGAGTTATATAAAGATACTATTATTATAGCATCTACATCATAATATAAACCAATAGGATCCATTGATATTCATGTTATCCTTAGTGACGAAAATTCGCATAATGTCTATTATCTTGATTTGTTTTATCTGTAGTAAAGCACAACAAAATTTTTTTTATCCAGTAGCAAAACTTGGCGATTAACTGAAGAGACAATAACAGAACTCTTTTGTCGTTGTTGTTATAGCAACCATAAAATCTGCGTAATTCATATAATTATTATTCATTAACCTACCTATTTATAGTATTGATGAAGATATTAGAATGAATTTTAAACGCCCTTTGAGCCACTTTAACTATAGCATCAAGTTGAAGTAAATACAGTATTTAGGATTATGGCTTATGATATATCTCGTGTTACTTTATACTCTCTTCCCTGGTAGAATAACAAATCGAAGCCATAAATACTGTTGTATATAATCAAAGGAGGTGTTATCCTGATGGTAAAATGGACTGCACTTGATAAAGATTAATAAGAATCAGAGAGTAAATGAATAAGGAACATACTACAGTAGCATGGAAATTCTTATTGATGTGATGAGCAGACGATTGTTGATAGAATATCTATTGTCGAAAGGAAACGATTTACAATACTATAATACTTATTAAACTATGATATATCGCCTACTGTACATCCTTATTGTAAGCAATTACAGTACATGTGGGGATAATCGTGGACTACTGGAATTTATTAGTTCATGGAATAATACGATATAAAAGGTATAGTATATACAGCTTATGAATATAGTCAGTGGAGTGGATATAGGTGCTACCGCATTAGATAAACTAATATTAACAGTATTCAAAGTAATATGAGAATTAAAAGTAACTGTTACTGATGTTTTCATCGTAGCATTTTCAGAATTCAATAAGATCGAAATATCTCTCTTTGTCGTATTCTGTGGTCAGTCAAAATCGGTTTCTACAGCTACACGGTAAATAACTTCAATATTTAAGAAAGCAAATTTATTTTCCTCGTATTTGTGTCAGTTTCATTTTGAGCAGTCTTATAAGTTTAGTTTCACAACGTCATGAATAGTGTGTCTCATGATTAAAGATTGTTACTAATGTTGCTAAAATGATTATACATGCTTGTTATGATATACCATCTTATAATAGCTACATTATTTGTTTTAAATCTACACAGAACATAGCTTTATAATCTCCAAGCAAGTAAATAATCTTCCTAAAACTTCATCTTGCATGATAATTTACTTTCGGATATATAGTAATTCTAGTAATGAATTGCATCAATTAAGTAACTAATAGAAATGTTTATAGTGTTATAAAAGCTAGTTGGTATTAAATTTTTTAATCACAAAATAATATGAGCATAAAAACGAGAAGTATTATACAACTACAATTTAACGATACTGTAAATTAATCTATAATTGCCCAAGTTCAGATTTTTACACAATATATGTGCAAGCATGAATAAGACGTAAATAAATAAAGCATGATAGTGATTTGTGTCGTGCATAATTTGTTAAAAAAGACTTGTAGTGTTCTATTACAACGATCTGTGTACAAACAAATTTACAGTACGAACTAACACATTAGCTAAATAAATTAGAGTATAAGTTATTTATTGGTTTATTCTATGCCACAGAGATTGCCCGAATACATATAACTTTTTATTTTAATCATAATTTTCAAAAACAATCAGGTTTACCTACAAATAAATAACTTAGTTTCGATATGAGAATAGAGTTCATGTATATTATTAAACTTATGTGCAGGCTGTGCAACGGACTATCGGCAGTTACTATAATTTTGAAACACCCAATTTCTACAAAGTAGTAGATATTCAGGAATACAGTACACTTACATGCCGTTGAACGTTTTTAGTATAGATCGTAGCTAAATTACGTTAACAGCCCGTAATTTCAATTACAGTTGTTCGATATTAAGATAGGCTATTTAGGAGGATTAAGTAATACAATAGAAATTAACGATTAGACAGATCACAACCGCTTATAATAAAACATCTATAGATTATTCCATAAAAGAACTTCATTTAGGAAGTAGTTTATCGCAACTAGTATTTTCTTTCAGTTATACTTAGAATAATAAAGTAGCTTAACAGTTAGGATACATGTGTATCACAGCTAGTACTAGCTGTTAACATTACATGTGACTGTACAATTAGCAATCCAAAGGATCACGTAAAGCCTATATATAAGTTTATATACACATATAGATGATCGTAATAATAGTGTGTTAAGAAATGTTAAAGATAGAAAAAGAGAAGGTAAATTACAAGATAATGTATAGAACATATTAACAGATCGTTCGTCGAATAAAATTAACTAATAATAATATATATATATAGAGAGAGAGATGTTGCCTTAAGATGCATACGTAGGACTGTTATATAAATAAAAATTATTTCCACTAAATTTAGCACGCATAGAACATCTTATCATAGAATTAAAGTTCATTAAAATAATTTTATCAAAAATGAAGGTATTTCATGATATACTCGAAAGCACATTATCCTTTACATAAAGTCTATTTTAAATTTACCCTCGAAAATTCATTCCTAGACCATATATACTAATCACTACCTTCGTTCTCATCAGTTTTAGATGTAGTTTCGTTGTTTAATTGAACATGATTTTGCATTATTGTGTTATCGTCAACTACAGGATGAAGTAAATATAATAGAATTAACTTAGTCTCATAAATCTGATGCATATACAACGCTGAATATTAACGTTAAATGTTAAAAATTGTAGGAACATCTTTAAACTGTGATAAACTAGGTACATTAAACAACTTTTAGTATTATCGTCAGTCAAGGTTATATTACCGTCTTCGTTTAAAATTGCATCGAATACGTTATCGGTATCGTAACAGTCTTGAGGATACTTCTTTCCTGTTGCCTCCGCTTTTTCCTTAACAGCTTTTTGCTTAGCTACAAGTAGCGACCATTTTTTTAAATTAGCCCTATGTTATAAATTAAATAGGTAAATGAATGATTAGTCCTATTTATAGGATAGATTTAAGATAAAAGTTAATTGCACAAGGTTTACCTAATTCCATCAAGCATTGGTTGCGTACCAGGTAACACTTTAACAAGCAGTTCATAGCAGGGCAGGCAAATTCCGACAACAAAGCCAACCTATAAGTAAATTTAATAGTTTGTAGTTCATATTAAAAGTTTACTTAGGTTATGTACTTGCAAGTAGGTAAATTATTATGTAATTGAGTAAAAATCGTATATTAGATGATATACAGCACCTGGTTCGCTGGGAGTTCATGAGCTAAACCACGATCCATCATTGGAATTGGTTGACGTCCTTGTCTCTTCTCTTCATCACCCTGATGGTCGACATTAGTTTACAGGGCGGAGGTGTGAAAACATAACGATGTCTCATTACTGTCATGTATTACTATTGTATGTTGTAACATATCATATGTACTGCCTATACTAACTTGTGCATAAAATTCTTGAAAGATAACTTTAACAGTGTCCTTATTAATATCCCATGGCTTAGCATTACTAGATATATCACAAGCCGTAACAGCAATCGCCCGAATCAAAGCCCTATATTTTATTATAAAAATTCAATAAAACTCCTATAAAGTCTATAACAATATCCATTATGATGTCGCATTACCTGTGTATACTATTATTCCAAGAAAATTCTCCTGCATCTACAATTGCCTTAAGTTTCGACTTGTTACCAAAAAATAATGCTAGATCTGTAGCTAAAATAGCGTGCTTGATATACCCTAGGACCTTTATTAATTTAAAGTGTAGTAGTCATTATGTTGGTAAGAAACGTCGTAAATAATATTAATATCGCATTGGTATAATTCTGTATAACGCAATTTGCAAGATCACTATCACATAGAAAGTATCTATGATAAGGTGCCTTACGGTCTTGTATTCTTCAGAATTTAGATGAGAGAAGATATTATGTCCATCGTTCTGTAAGTTCATTGCATATATATTTATACCGTATTAGTCAAATAAGTATGGCTTCGATAAAATTTATCATTCATGCAGTACACTACCTGTAATATTGTTATCGTTTGATTAAAATGATGATGTTCCATGGTTGATGTTGAATAAACAGCCGCCAAAGGCGTGGATGAATTAACCATAAAGGCATTATTTCTGCCTCTATGATCTAAGTCATGGCATAAGCATGCAACATATAAACCTATTGCCTATTGTAAAGTTTACACGGATGCAGGCTTTCGGTTAGCGTTTTACGTAGGGGTGCTTATGAAATACTATGTATATTTATTATTAAAAATTAGGATTACCTCTAGTTCAGTGAAGAGGTTAGGATTTTTCTTGATTATTGTGTACATAGTATGGGCAACGGTAAATGCGTGATACCAATTATGATATGGTACTTTGCGATAGTTCTTACGAACTGTTAAAGTAAATTTCATTAATTCCTCGATATCATATCTAGATAGAAGATTGGAAATTTTGGTTAACTAGCGCAATACGAAATATACATGTACATATAATAATCTTGAGAAACTGAATGTTTGTTAAGTACGATTGCCGATATCCTTACTTGTCTTCCGATTCATTTTTTTTACTGTGGTATAAAAAGAATTTTAAAATGTTTTTTAAATGAAATAGGCTAGAAAGCAGTAGCTAAGCAAGTAATATCATCACTAAAATCACTAAATTATAACCTAAACTGAGCAAAAATATCCCGAAACATGAATAGTACATATCCAGGAATATCTTTATCAGTGATCCTTTTAACATCAAAGTCATATCTGTAATATAAAATATTATACCATTAGCTTAAACCTTTTAATCTACCAGTTTTAAAATGTTTACAAATTTCTTTTTACTATAGTAACTGTAATGAAATAGTTCACCGTGCTAAACTTGCGACATATACAGGGTCAGCATTTCGTAAGGAATGGAGTTCGTCATGACTGCATTGACTATGATAGGATAGTACCTCCAAAGCAACCTGGTAACAAGAGCATTTACGTCATGTTAATCTAACGATAAAGTATACGCTACAGTAATTGGTGTAAAAAATCTTAACGTCATGGTGATTAAAACTGAGAATGATCCGAAAAGAGCAATTACATACCTTATACTTTTGCTCTGATCGGCGTATCTTGTCGTATAACTGTAATTAATATGCGATCTGTATTAGCATTTTAAGTACTTGCAAGCACTTTTTAGTAAATTCTATTAGTTGATGAAATAACGTGAAAGTCGAAATGCTACCTTAGCATGATGTAATGCTAACCCACAATAGACCGCAAACGTTTCAAAGGATTGCTCATCTAAGTTTAGAATTATTAGTAATAAAAGAAAAAAATAAGTCCTGATGCGTATGATGCTTCATGGTACTATTTATAATTTAGGTTTAGAGAAAAAACGTTAAAGTTATTCCAGTAAAACCTTGCTGCGTAAAGACTGATGATCGCTTATTTACCATTTGCACCACTCCAATTACACTAACATATGCGTGAAAAATATTACCAATTAGTGATAAGAGTCTAGCCAATATATAACATTCAGAGGTACGTACAAGAATGTCATATTACAGAACAATGCACACATAACTAATAATTTCGAGGAATGATTACTAAGCAAAATAACAAATATAAATGTTAGGTGGATTAACTTATTGAAGCTCACTCACTTTCCGCGAATGAAAATAGGCATACAAAGAATCGTTTTCGTAGTGTAGCCAGTTTGACTATCAATTTCTCTGTGAAGACCAAGTTCCCGAAGTAAATGACAAGTTAAAAAACTATAACAAAGTGAAATTGCTTTGTATTCTGACCTGTTGAATCTTGAATCCTTGTAAGCATCTTTGATGTTGAGTACATTTCCAGATGTAGCAACATAACCAGCGATACCCTTTGACATTGGAAATCTTGAATATTTCGTACATTACAATAAAAATTAGTTAATAAGTCAGTTTCAGCCAAACTTTCAGTTGATGTAATTGTAGAAATATCTTTCCTTTGAATTTTAGCTAACCTTATCTCTTTGATATTTTTATCAACTTTATCATCATTATCGTTATTTCCTACGTCGAAAATCCTAGCATACAATTCGTTACTTTTATTATCAACGAGAAATAGCGAAGCTCTATCCGCATCCACTAGCTTCTGAGCGTAATTCTAAGGAGATTTAAAAGTGTATTAGAGTAATCTTAGTTATTTGATAGAAAGGTAGGGCAGTCAAGAAAAGAGATTAAGAAACAATTTTTTAGCTCGCTCATCCGATAATTATAAGTTATATTAACCATACTATTAATTTATATACTTACCATAATTTTTGTGATAACAGTATCCATACTAACAATATCTTGAAAAATTGATCTGGAAGAGAAATTATTATCTTACCATAATATCACCAGGAATATATTAACTAAGACGATACTATAACCAAAACACAATACTGAATAACTATCAAACAATTTTAATTAATTAAATAATAATACTTGAGCGCGCCATAGAAAATCGCATGTGATAAAATTTTTATTTTTACGTGTGTGATCAATCAGTGATTACTTTGTCATTGTCAATAAGAATTCATTCAATTTGCGTTCTTTTTCCATACTGTGGTACATCTAGAAGTAGTTGGATAAAATAATGATCTCAATGACCGTAATATAATTATAAACCCTGATAATATTGATCAAATACGTGCATATTAATTTACCCCCGCATAATAAAGAGCAGCTCCAGCCCATAATAGGAAAGAACTTATCGTCTAAATTATAAGTATCATTAGTTAAATCAACATAAATATATTGGTCGATGTTTAATAATTTTGTCACTTCTATGCTAAAATTACTTAAGCGCTGAACAAACAGTAATGAGCTCTTAATTTTAATAATCTATCAGAGTTCAGTAATTATTTTCTTACCTCTTCATCTTCTTTATTGAACTGTGAATTATTAACTGTTCGATAAACAAGGATTACAGCTGTAAACAGAATATATAATATGACTTTAATACCTAAATAAGTGACAAACACCTATGCCTTAATTAGAAGCATAAATATTGCATAACTGGTTAAATAATGAAATTTATTAAAAGCAGAAAAAATCATAATATTCGATATTTTTTATTGCTAATACCAATAATTTCTCCATTGGACTTTATGACAGGTTGACAAATAATCGATTGTGCTGTATTTTCTACCGGAAAATTAATAAAGAACCAATTCACATTCTATCTAATTTGTTTAAAGCTTTATGACAATTTCTTCCGAAAATAATGATAGTAACTAAAAAGAAAGAACCCCATTACCTTCAATACCAATACCATCCGGGAAACGTTCGTCCTATATTAAATAATTACAAGTTTTCTTATTAAAAATTAAAAAAACTTAAAAAAACTTTCACGATAATACGAAAGTGTTTTGGCTGCTTTTTATCTATTGTCACTTGAAATTAATAACTCATTACCACAATTAAAATATCATCTAATCTGATGCTTTCTTTGCAAGTTGCAACATATGCAGGTATTGTTGTTCCCATTCCGATAGCTTGACGTCCCGATGTGATACAGCTATGGATAGTGGAAATAAATACAATACAAAATGAATATAGCAATCAGGTACTAATTGGCAATGTTCCTAGCCTAATTATTTAAAATGAATATTAGTCTTATTATTCAGAATGTACTGTGCAGATTATAGTTTTCGCAATTCGCGCAATAATATCATTGATATCAGCTATATGTATACTGTCATTGCAACAGACCTAGGATCGTGCTTTGCGAATAGATACATTTCCTATTGCCAAATTTTAAAAGCAATAGTTAGAATAAAAATATTCTGTGTGACAGAAAATATTTCATGAAATAAAATTAAGTAGGCAGTAGAAGCAATTGTTTACGAATTTATCGAAGAAGTTATTATTACTACAAATTTAACTATGCTTAAGTATAAACAATTGATAGCTACTGAACATGCATACATATTGAATTATTTCTGATATCGTAATTTTTATATTTTATTCTATACTTACTTCAGTTGAGGTATCGATTACATATAGCAATTTGCCGTCAACCTGGATTACTGGAGTTACACCAATGATTGTAAGTCCGATAACATTAATTTTTGTATACAGAAAAAATAAAATCCGAAGAAATGCATTTAGAGAGTATATTATTACCAATTAAATAAAAGCAGCTAGGTAAACAAGAATTAATAAAAATCAAAATAGTTTCAGGATTAAAAAAATCTAGGGAACGAGATTTTAACGTAGTGATATTTTAATTATTTCATGATTACATTCCATTACATGGACTACAATTTTCAATATGAAGACAAGAGTTAGTAGTAATTATTAAAGGAATGTAGTTTTAACTTTATCCCCTTTATTGGCATTTAATACAACTAGAAAACTTTAATGAACTATGCTAAAAGAATAAGGTTTATAGAATTTTAAATTCTTTTCATGCAAATAAAATAACGTATAACATCTAGATATATATATAGTATATTTAGATAAAGATGTAGCAGTATACTGCATTTATATATACAAGACTCATAACTATGATATAATTTTACCTGAAGATAAACAATTGATCAGCTCGCTAAGTATTAAAGTCTGATTAGGTTTATTGTTGATTTCCAACATCCACTCTTGGAGTAGCTTGCGTTTATCTGAATGATTAGAGAACTAGAAAAGAATTTTAAATAATCGTTATGATTCAAACAAAAAAATTAAAATAGTAATAAATTAAATGCTAATAACACTAGAAATTAAATCAATCAAACGACTTTCTGTTCCAAGATATGAAAGATATTCGTTATTAGTGTCTGTATTAATGATATTGCAGTGAACAACTGCATAATTAATAGGGAAAACTTTTGTTCTATTTATAGTTTTATATGATAGTGATGTGTTAACTTGGTATAAAATGATGATAGAACTATGATTCAGAATTAAAACCATTCAAAAAATTACTCGGATGTCTATTTGTGATACTTTATGAGATACTTTCAAACTTGAAATTATATTGCACAACACATATTTCTCACCTTCCATTTCGATCCAATTACAGTATTTCGGCCTATAATAATATATTGATATGAGTAAAGTCAATTTGTTGTGATAATGCATACAAGCATAACTATGCTCGTACATAAAAGTTCATTTAATGATAACTTTTTTATAAATTATAAGCCGAGGTGACTGCTGTAATGACAAAGCATATTGTCTAAGAATAATAATACACCATCTACTATGATCACGGAATTGGTTGAAAAAGTATCACATTATAACGCAAATTTTATTCTATTAATTTATCAATCTAGATAGTAGATTATAATAATTATTACTATTCTATTATTGATTAAATACTATCTAACAGGCATAATTGTAGTTATCATATTATATGATTATTCATTAAAACAAGCACAATATCTATTGCTAAAAATGTCTTACACCTGCCTTCATAGAAAATAAAATCTATTATTTCGCAAATTATGTAAACGCACATTGATAAATTGTTTTTCACTATTCGCGTATAGTAGCTATCACTTTTTCTCTATCGAATTAATTTACTAACAAAAATCTTATTGCATTACTAACTAAAATAGAAGAATTTAGTTTGAACTTACCACCATCACTTGCAATTGACTCCGTATCACTCATGGCACGTTGCCGTCGTGTTTTAGTCATTAGCCACTTTTCCAATTGACCTTGACTAATATTAGTTGCCACGAAGTCATCTAATACGTCTGGATTCATTTTAAGATATTGTGCAACACCTTCACTATCCACTTCTGTTACGGTTATCATGAAACAAGATAATAAATAATAGTGCAAGTGACGCGAATATCCACATTTTCAGTGATTCAAATGATGGTTTCACCATGTTGATAAAATTATAATGAAATATTTATTCATGTGTTGACCATGAACAGCGTCGTTAACCGTAAAAGTTATTGATTGCATTGCAAATTCCGTTAACGAACGATAAACCAATGTTGTCATATTAAATATGTCAGGATGAAAAGGGATAAAATAAAGGAGAAAAACAAAATAAGTATAAGATTAGGAGAGTATGAAATCTTATCCTAATAAATAATTAGTTTATTATTTAAATAATTGAAAAACAATCTTCATTTACGCTCGTTCTCTCACTTTTTTACTACGCGTATCTCTCTATACCCAACCCATTTTACGACTAGGTTTTCGAACACATACAAAATTATAGAGAGATTAACTTTGCGGGGTATTACCTATCAAACTAATAATTAAAGGTTGATATGTACTGTACACACACTTTACTTAAACGTGTAAAATACTGTATAAAGTATCGGAGTAATGGTTCATGTAATACCGGGTATACTCAGTTACAGTTGAGTTAGAAATCACAAAGTGTGTGAGACAAATCTGCTATAATTCATCTAATGTATTACTTGTCTTCCAGATTTTAATGATTAGTTGAATCATTACCGACGACAACTTGCTACGTATATGATTTAATGCTTCTAATTAGTCAGCCTTGGGGCTTAAATTGGACTATGCAACGCCAGGTTAATATCTTTATAAAAGATTCACAAGTGTGAAATTTAATCTATAATTTTTTTAAGGAATAGTTACAATACAATAACTAGTTATTCCAATAATCTGTATTAAAATTTCTCGGCTATCATAGCGTTACATTATTTTCAGGGTCAGCTACAATTTACAAGGATGATGAACAAGATTTTAGACATTAATTATCAAATCATGATAGGCTATTACTAAGTAAATATAGGTTAAAATTGTTGATCAATTTGAACTCACAATAATACGTTGTCTAGAAACGTTAATTTATATCCAATATTGATATTCAGGTCAAGCGAGTGGTATAAAACATAAATAGAACGTTGAATAAATGTATCATTGCTATTTTAAAATTTGCTTTTATATCTGATACACAGTAATTTACATCATAACTATTCTAAACAACTCCGCCTCTTACATTAAATCACAATTTTCAATATTACTTCCATAAGAAAGGGGACTTTTTATAATCGTGTTCCGTTGAAAAATTTTAGTATTATTTATAATGAAGGGAGAAGGGACTGTGTGATTACTATTACTTGGGAAGGGGGGGAGAGAAAGAAGATAAAATTTGAAATGATCGAGCGACCAGATGAAAATAAAAAGAAAAGATATAGTTATGATGATGATGACAAAAACATAATAATAGATAGATAATCAAAGATAGAATACTGTCGTGAATGATTTTTTGACCGTATTTTGACAATCTACGCGATAGATATAAAATCAATAAGGACCCAAGTTGTATAGTGGTAGGCATAACAAAAGAGGGTTAAAAAAATAAAAAATGAAACTGAAATTGAATAGAGTTCTATAGTACTGTAATACTGTATAAGGAAGATAAGTACATTAATACTGACACCAAAAGAAGTAAATAAATTGAGATTACTTATTTTACAATGATCAACAACTATAATTGGTACATGTAAACTTGAAAAAGATTGATCAAGGTAATCGATAGCAATATTTAGTGAAAAAAGAAGCGGAGAAAAGGTAGATAGTGGTAAAATGAAAGATACTATTGCGCTAATGTACAGTGCTTAAATATAGTGTTGTGCCGTCAACATAATTGCGACATCATTTACGATCTACACATAATTTCTACATCATAGGAGTGGGAAGAATGCAAAATTGAAGGTATTGATAAAGTTTCAACATTTTCCATCATCACGATGACAATCGTAGGCATAATAATAAGATCTATAATATATGACAATATCAATTTTATAAAGAAAACCTTGGTATTGGAATATGGAAAGAGACAATCATTCTAAATCAATGGACAATATCCCATCATTTCAATCGATGGAGAAAAAGGTGTTAGTCATATAAAGTCAAGGGTTAAAAAATCCACTTCTACCTTTCCCTATCAATGGATCCATTGTGATTACAATAGGATACAAAGACTTAAAACAACATTTGTTAAATAATTGTATACTGTACATCGATAGAAAAACTACCTACCACAGCAATTTTGTGATGCAGTTTACATGAGGTTTATGCTGTAGATATAACGTGGTTTGGTGAATTTTAGATTTTTAACTTTAATACTATTAAATACGGCACATTATTGTTAAACAATTATTACTGCATTATTAAGAGAGGATATCCTTGGCTTATGCAAATTGTAAATTCGTTTAGACTGTTAACTATGGTAACTAGGACATCATCAGTTCGAAATAGTATAACGGATCACGATATCGTGTATCGATATTATTACCGTGAATTTGCTCCCTTAATGTATTCCCAATCTCTCCGTTAACGATCATCCTCATCACACTAGTATAAATTATCATGCCGTTATTAGATACAAAACTTATTGTCAAGAAATGAAAATATTTCATCTAATGAAAAAGACAATGCAAGTAAAGGTTAAAAATTTCAGAAATGTATAGAATTGATTGCAAAATTATGTGAAGGCATTTTCTGCATTTAGCCTAAATGCAATATTTATTGGCATATTCTGTGTTGTCGGATAAATCATTACGATTAAGCTTAGGTTGAAAACTTGTCTTTTTATGTGGCTACATTAAATTAGCTGTATTGCAATGATATCAGATCGAACGTTAGTTATTTGAGACAAGCTTGAATAACCAACTCAGTACTATGATAAAGTGTTGGTTTAATCATTCGAAAGTCAGGTTGAAAGGGCATTCTCCGATAGAACGAGTGATAAACCGATTCTTAATTAATTGTATTACTATATGACGATCTACTTAATAATCTAATTCTTTTTTTTGTTGTTAATTCAGCTATAGCCATCGTAAGTTTGCACAAACAGTAATTCATTCTAACTCCGGGAGATGATGATAAATAATAACGTGATTATGTTTAATAATCCAAAAGCATAAAATCAAGAAAAGGAATAATACCGGTAGTTTTTTACGATTTTTATACGAGGAAGTAAAGACAGGACGATAGCGATTTCGAAAGGTATCAAAAAACAGCAATCTAGAAAGTATATCACATCATGAGGTGATGACGATGGGGACCATATTACTGTACTTGCTAAAAATTTTACTACACCGTGTGTCTGCCACCTCTTGTTGTTTATTTAGCATATACTGTAGTATGATAAACTTATTTGTGCTAAGATCAATTGAATCCAGCCTTATTATCAGTCATCAATTGAGTTATAGCCAGTAACATGATAAATTCTTCTAGTAGAAATAAAACCTCAATTTGACTGATTAAGTCGAGATTTTTTTTTTTTCACCGGTGATTAGTATTCAAAAGTTAAACGATAAACTACTCAGTTGGGTACACACTACACAGTAGCAGGAAGTACGAGTATGTCGGTAATCAACAAAGCGCAAGAAGATATAAGAAACAATACCAGGCAGACATTGCCGGTGCTCATTCTTCACGCTCACACATAGTTATTAGCTTTAATATTACAGTGGTGTACGTATACTGTAAGTACAATAGTCTCGTGAGATGTGTCGGCGAATGTCGGGAATAAAAAAAACCGTCTGCATGAAATCGATAGATGGCATCATCCTTTATGATCGATCGATTGGGAAAAGAATCAAATGATCAATTTTGTAGAATATGTAATAACATAGAATATATTATATTATTCTATACGTCTGAGAGTACATAAGAAATGGTCAACAAAAATATAAAATAAGCCAATGATTAATATAATTAAATGCAGGTATTTGCAATCATAGTCATTTTTTTGGAATTGCCTTTCCTTTGAGTTGGTGATAACTTGCACTAAACTTTTTTCGTAGATCGAATAGAGTAATTGCTAAATCTACTTATTAATTTATTTTTTACTTGTATAATACGCTTAATTTAATACAGTAAAAGTCATTATTATCATCCTCATGGCTAAGATATTGTGGGCGAGGGAAGAGAGACAGAGTTGGTGAGAGAGAGGGGGAGGAAGAGAAGAGAAAAAAATAAAAATGGAATGAAATAAAAATCGAGCAATGATAAAACTTTTCTTCAACATAGAGTAGCAATTAATCATACATTAGTGTCAACATAAAGCATTTTGATCCATAGTTAAACATAGGACTGACTAAGATGAAAAGCAAGATTCAAATTGACGATAATGAAGTTATCATCGGTCAAAAGAATACTTGAAAATTTATTCAAAAGATGCCTATGTAAGCAAAGTTTGCCAAAATGCAGTCATTGATGTTGAAAATCAGCTCGACTAATAAAAAACATGTATTGGCACATTTTGTCAATACGTATATTGATTGAGTTAATTAGCGTAGTAGATTCAATGAGTAGTTTTTTTCGTTTTTCTACTTTCTGCACTATTCCACTTTTTATATAGGAGTGTTAGATTCGACGATTTTGTGTTATTTTTTAAATTGTATAGTCATGGCATATTGAATAACAAAACTGTTATAGCTATATTTGATCGTGTTGACAAAGTTGCTAACTGTAATGTACTACAAATCTATCATAACAGACATTAGTGTGCAGTGATGATCGTCTTTATGACCGTCATTTCTACTTGATATGCAGATGGGATATGTCTTGGTGCAATAATGATTATCCTACATGAGGCAAACTTACCCGTCGCAGTTAACAAGTTACTGCTATTATTGGTTGTTGTCGCTGTTGTAATTCCAGGATCATTTGGATGATAGTGATAATATGAAGGACTTGTACTGCTCTTATTGACAACACCATTATGATATTTTTCATAACTTTTACCAACCACAGCAGTACGTAATTCAGTAGTTAACGTACTACTGCCATTGCCAGTGACATTATTGATGACCGATGTAGGTGATGTCGTTACTGCAGTTGAATTGCCAGTACTCACGGTATTGGTTGTTTGTCGACCATTGCTTGAATTTGAGTTATAGGATAATGGCACTAATTTCGGACCCATTGGCAATGGCGGTAATCTTCGATTACTAACTTGTCTCGATGGCGACGACATCTTCCCTTTGAATGAGGAAAATTGAAGCCAATTTTCAAAGGGGATATTTCACACACACTACAGACTAATAAAATGCAATGGCAATTTCGAAGTCAGAAGATATCAATAGGTGACAAGTCTTTTGACGTCAATAAAAATCAACAACATCAAATTGACTCCTTTACTACTCACTGACATGGAATAATTTATTACACTGTAAATAGTAATCCATATTTATAACAGTAGGTAGAACAGTTTTTTTCCCCCCCCCCCCAAAAAAAGTGTGTTTTAATTCTCTTCTTCATCCATTAAAATGGTCGATTTTTTGACATACTTTGACCCTGTCATTAAAGTTACAGTAGTTGATTTCTACTTAATACTGACTGCAGTTACAGTGTAAGGTCCAACAGGGTAGAATCGACACAATACAGTTAAACAATCAATGGATATGATCCAATGGACAGTACTAGAATAATTTGCCCCCCTAAAAAAAAGGCATAACGTACCGAATAAAGTTGGAATGAAGTCACAGTTACTTTTTCTATTCTTTCTCTTTCTGTGCCCTAGATCTTCTCTCTTGCTCCAACTGTATTCTTTATTATTTATTTTCGTCATTAATTTTCGGCAGAGCCTTTTTCTCTTGCTGTGTGTGTAGGAGAAGGTTGCTGGCGCAATTTTTTTTTCTACTTTCCCTTTTCAACCTCTGACTAGAGTGACACCGCTATGTTGCGACAACCGCTCCTAGCGTCAATGCATAGTTGTGACCGTGGGGATGCGATCGATATGAAATGGACTGTCACACTTGACACTTGGTCTTATTGACCATCGCTAACTTCAATAACATTACGTTTATACAATGATACAGTATTGCACTAAGGCAGTGCTTTGGGTGGGTAGAGAGTACGACTGCGGCTGAGTAAAGACCCGCGACGGTATGTTAAAAGACGTGCTAGTCAGCGTGGGCGATGTTTGCTCACAACCATCGACGACTGTCATGTGAATGTCCATGGTTACGATCGCCACCGTCATGTAGTGTACCGTAGACGTCACGAGTCAGGAAGGACGGCATCAGCTCAGTACCGGCCTATGGCCTACAAAGAGAGAGTGGTATACCGTAGTACAGTACAGTATTAACCATCATACTGTACAGTGTACAGTGTACAGTACTACAGTCTCTACTTGTACTGTATTGTTCCGAGTGTTGGCAATGACTAACTCGTGTATACAGTATAGTACATGAATATCATTAATGTCTTCCTTTTCCCTTTATGATAATGTCTATGGACTTCTGAGACAAATACTTGTCTCAGAGATCTCTGCTAATGTTATATATATATTATACTGCAGACGATATATTGCACTGTAAACGTCCAAGTCCAGCCACAGTGACGGCAAGGACTACTGGTACAGTACTATACATACAAATCCTTGGCGACGATATGTGGTAAGAGTGACATCGCTTTTGCTAGCAACTTTCAATACACATTTAGTGATGAATCCTCTTCATCATGACTATACCTGCCGCGGCGATACAACGGCTAAGCATAGGCATGGACTACTACATCATACGTTAATCTGTATATTTGTTAGTAGCCCATAGCGTACGAATAGGTAAAGCGTTTCTATTACTCAACAATAAATCCAGTAATATTATTCTACGCACTAATAACTGTGTCTATCTTATACTACTATACAAAACCACAAATCACGGCTGAAATATCCAGTAGCAGGCGCATTATACACTTCTCTTGCATGGCGTTGCTATGCAAGAGAAGTACTACATAGTTGACGTCTACAACAGTGGATACTCTAACACTATCAACGGTATAGTACTGGAGTATTGTTCATACGAAGCAATCAATAGTTTTCCTACAATTCACTAGGAAGGCCAACTGAAAACCAACGTGGGCTGAGCTGCAATACCCGTTGCCTAGATACTACCATCAACATTGTTTCATGGTCATGGCAAAGCAAATCGGTATAGCGATTTTAGTTTCATATTCTAAACTCCACGTCCATTTCATAAATTTACGGGCCATAACCTAATAGAAATGAGCAGTGCTTTACCATTACGAGAATAGAAATGAGCCAAATTGGAGTCATTTTGTAAAATAGCTGATTGGATATATTTCCGGTCGCTTATACGAGTATACTATATCGGTGTAGTTCAGAAACAAAATTAACTGAACTTTAATTAGATTGTGCAATCATTGCTCGAGGCAACCATTCCATGGGATAGCTATAGAATTACCCTTAGTATTGATTAATTAGCAATAAAATGTGATCCATTCAATTGTAGGGTGTTAATGATATAGCTACAATACGAATATAGAGATATAGAGATATAGATTAATAGCGATCATAAATATCATGGTATTGAAGAGGAATATTGCTAGCTAATTAAACAGTTAGCAATGTTCATACTATTGATCCCATCCTTGATTCATAAGGCATTGCGTCAAATTTATTTATTTCTTTTTTCTTCACTTCATGATTACATTTAATCGGATTAAACATACTGGTATAACAAAAATCGATGATCGACCAATCTAAATACAAAATTGTCATCGTGACAAATATTGCTTTCAATAGGTTATTTCCTCATTCTATTCGCTGAAGAAATGCATAATACATTGTAAAGTATACAAGCAGCTGTGAATGAAATTTGTTAAAGTGGTGCTGCATAAAATACAGTAGAAGTCAGTTGGTTACTTATTCAATATTTACCTAACCATTTAAACTGAAGCATCTATTTTCATAATCAAATATGAAATATTAATAAGGATTTGTTTAACATTGTAATATCAGCAGTAAATTGAATGGTAGTTTTAACTATAAAAAATGATAAATAGTCCGTTCGAAAGGCAAAATTAAAATAAATTTAGCGTACATGCTCATATGTAGCTTCCTATGATATTAATAGTCAAACACCTACCTCATGATACCTTCGCGTACTTATATTTCAGTATATGAATACTACATTACTACGCGCAATTAAGACATACTAGCTACAACGTTGCTATCTTTAGGTGTGCAATATATTGTCACCATACCAACTTTGCTACTTCCTTGATTTAGATAATGGACTCAGGTTCAGCTATAGTATAATTGGATCATAAATAGAATAAGTTATAATTAATAAAGTTTTAAATTTAATCTTTGCTGGCATTCACATCACTAACTATAGCATTGAAGATCACAATGGCAAGCATGCTGTTGAACGGTTTACATCTACATAATATAAATTGATTCATATTATCCTTTACATTGCGCGTAGTAAGCTAATTGTAGCTATGCGACTAAATTGATATTCTATCCTATTTATAATTTGTATGAAACAGATATATCATACTTTAAGGTATAATAACATCATACATTTTATTTATTTTAAAGCTAACTGAAGTTATGAGACTGAATGATATCCGATGCTATCTATATTTCACCTAAGGAAATGGATATATCATACTTTGACGGATAGTATCATACATTTTACTTATTTTAAAGCAAGCCGTTAACTAACAATAAAAGGTTGTATTACGTCCTTGAATACAAAATTAATAAATCTTGTTAGGTAATTAAATTAAATTAGCAGTGGATTGTTGTATCGCTTAATTTAACTATTCATCCTCTTATATTAAATTATCAACCTTTGAATATACGTAATACTAATCTATTAGATAAAAGGGTAGTGTTTTTATGTACACATTCGTAGTGGAGTAAATACCACAGCATATTGATAACGGAGTTTAACCTCTTAGAATAACTGTATGATAAGAAAAATTTTGAAGGAAAAGTGAAATTATGGCCAGTGTTAAAAAGTAAAGAAATTTAATTAAATCGTACTCCCATGTTATGCCATTAGGTAACAAAACTTGCAGACAGTCATTTTTAAAGTGCTGTACTATAAATCAATAATTAATTGTAATGGATAAAATAGCTCATTAATCATGTTTGCTAAGAAAAAATTTTGTTTTGATGATGTGAGACTTCTTTACAGAATGTCAGTTTGATAACTAATATTGTGCACTTTAAAGACATTACAGGAAAAAAATAATTGCTTGCAAACTAAATTTAGATTCAAATTTATAAATATATTCGTTAATTGTAGCAAACAGAACTTAGTATGTCTACTCATATTTTATTGCATTATTCTACAGAAAATATTATTAATTACCACATAAATTATGGTACTATTACAATTAATCGAAAACATAGTCATTATTAAACCTTATACCGATCAATTGTATCAATGATACAAAAAATAGTGATATCACCTTAGCCTAATGTAATTACTGGAATCGTGAAGAATGTAGGGAAGGCATTTCCGTCTGCTGTAGGCAATATTAATATCAATAGTCAAGCATTTAGTTACATTTTATATAAATTTGGTGCTATTAATGTGCTACTGTCTTTAAAATTGAAATCGTTTTTCAGCTAATATTTACTTGTAAACAGATAGTATGACACTTTTCCTATCAGCTATTTTGAGGTATTATGAGAGTATAAAGGTCGAACTATTGAACTTATATTTTGTTTTCAGAGCGGCTAATATTATATACTTACATACATCTTTATACGTCATACTCCACATCGTTCTAATCATACAAATTAGGCAGTACGGAACATAGTGGTTTAGATATTTTCTGACATAAAATATTACCTTTTTTAATCAATTGTATCTAATATCAAAACTACTTAATCTAGAAGTTGAATTTCTTTTAATAAAGTAGAATTATGATATATCCGAGAAAACATCACCAAATTATTTTAAACCATCAGTTTATGATGTTAATAGACTACCTCACAGAAAATAATTGTGGGCATCTAATGGCTACTGAATAACCCGTAGTTTTCCTTTTTATCCAGACTTCGCTAACCTAACCGAATATTTCACTCTCTGTAGTACCATGATGTATTAATGTTGAAGATAACACTTTGAGACTAATACTGGACGGAATATAACAACATGATGAGCAAAAGATTATGTCCCTCAATTAATTAATAATCAGCGTTTACAACAATTACTGTGTATTACGAATGAGAGTGAACGCTCAAATTTTAACAAAGAATAGATTTCTAAAGATTCACAACTTAAAACAACAATAAGATTGGATGCATTTACTCCTGTAAATCACGACATCAGCCTTCAACTATAAGAACGGATGTTACTTTATTGAATTTATCAGTCACCATAAACTGGACAGTAAATTGTTAACTGTAGTAGATTACCATACATTTCTTAACCTCGTTATATACAGTAATATCAATTAATACAAAGATTGTCAGGATGTACTTATTATGATGTGAGGTTCTAAGCCTCCTTATCCTCAAAATTCTTAATATATTTAAATAAATTAAATTCCTTCTTATATTCTTCTTCGTCCCATAAATCGCTTAGATTATTCAAAATAGCTTTAACATTTTCCTTCTTTTTGCTCTCACCACCTTGCTTTGATTTACTTTCTATCGAATTTTCTTCAGTACTATATTTAAATAAGTCTACAATTTGATTCGTTCCCATAGACATCAAGCTGGCATTTTCTTGTGAAATAACTGTGTTAGCTATTTTACTCTTAAAATTTTGTAATCTACGAATGGTGAAAACGGCCATTAGACTCATATAGTATTTAATTATTTTCCATTCTGTTAAATTATTTACCCTAGGATCTTTTCTTCTAATGTGTTCCTAGTTATTAACCGATAAACATTAACAACTTTTTTCTGGCCAATACGATGAGCACGATCCATTGCCTATAGAATGCGATTCGTAAGGGGATGCGTATGTATTGTATCGTCTATTTTTATACCTAGGGAAACTAAATTTTGAGATAGATTACATAGTTACTGACCTGAGCATCAGCCATTGGATTCCAATCATGTTCAACAAATATTACAGTATCAGCCCCAGTGAGATTTAGTCCCACTCCACCCACTTTCGTTGTTAATAACATAACATCTATAGAGGGGTCTTTATTAAATCTGTCGTAGTAGACAACCCAAAAGTTTAAATTTTTATCAGTAGATTGTCCTGTTGAAGTTAACAGCTAACGAAATAAAGACTACGTTATAATAATTTATATGAATTTGTCACGTACCGTGATACAATTTCTGCCCGTTCTTTAATACTGACATCTCCACTAAGTTTGACATAGGCAACAGTCGAATCTTTATCCCTTAAAAATTGAGATAATCATTTATACAAGCGCAATATTCAAGCTGCAGTCGTAGCAATGGTACTAACTTAAATAATTTTTCTTCAACTAATTTCATCATAGCCTTGCTTTGAAAGAAAACGAGTGCACGATGTTGAGCCACGACAGGCATCACTGACACAGAAGCGACATTAGTAGTTGGTATGCCAATGCCGCATTCCAATAAAAGTTGCCTGTTGAAAATCACAGAGGTACCACATTGATTGTTTAATGCTTACAGTTGCAAATTTACGGAAGAATATTTAACACATACTTCAAGGCCATCAGCTTCGCAGAGTGCTGAATACTTGAGAGCTCTAGATTTTCTCTACTAAGCCTTGATGTTATTTCATAATACTGAGGATGCTTCTCGTTAAGAACGAGTACTGGATGGTTACAAATTAGTCTAAGATACTGTAAAGCCTATAAAAATAGATTCCAGATTGAGTATAGTCATGGAATTATAATTATATTGCTAAAATATTACCTGAAAGGCATGCATCTTTGAGGGTTCTTTTTTACTCTCTTCCAGTGACGACAGGTCAAGATCTAATTCATCTGTTGCTCTCGATTTAGTAAAGTTAGCATACAATTCCATCTAAAGAATGATGCAAAATTTAGATTGAAGATTTAGGCAAGCATTCTAAGGAATCTATCATACTTGAAGTCAACCATTTAAATAGAACAGTTACTTTTAACCTAAAGCATGACATGAAGCGCTAAAAGCCCTAAGTCGGACAATCTTATGAAGACAAAATAGTAACCTGTAACGAAGTCATTTCACAGTAGTAATCTTGTATAATTTTAGGAGGTAAATCCTGTAAAACATCTTCCTTCATACGCCTTAGAATGAATGGTAAAACTTGTTTGTGCAAAGATTCAAGAGCTAAAACACCTATAAAAGTGAATAAGAATTCATTACCAAATCGTAAGTGAAAAAATAGCCAGGAATAAGGAAAAACTGCTACGCACCTGCTTCTTGCTCTTTTGAATTAGCTTTTGCATCTCTACTCGATAAGATCGGTTTACTATATTTAACATTAAATTGTTTTTCTGTTCCAAGATAGCCGGGCATAAGATAATCGAATAGCGACCATAATTCCAGAACATTATTCTGTAATAAATACAAAATTATAATATTACAGTGCAAAATTACAAGGACTTAATAACCGTTACATAAAAACCATTGACTCCTTATTCAGTCATCTTAAGAAATACTATTAATGACCTGTATCGGTGTTCCTGTCAAAATTAATCGATGCTTGGCATGCACCTGTTTTATACATCTTGACAACTGTAAAATTGAATCTCAAAACTATTACACTCTGTCAGTTACATTTATTTTAATTTAACAAATAAGAATATCTAAATTAATTTCATTTAATACCTTGGTTTTACCATTTTTTATAATATGACCCTCGTCTAAAGCACAATAATTCCAATTCCTAGACCTGCAAACAAGACAGGATGCTTATAACAGAAATGTACAAAGGCTATATTTACTTTTCTATCATATCTATACGCCGAATAAAATGTACACTATCATTACTTACGTAAAAAAGTTTGACTCGTTTCTTACAATATCGTAAGATGAAACAACCAAAGTTTTCGAAGTGACCTTCTTCTTCAAGCTGCAAAAAAAATAGAATATTTTGTATCTTTAATATGGATTCTGACATCGTATTCATTTCCTTCCATTTACCTTTCACGTTCTTGCGGTGTACCGATGAATGGTAGAGGGGACATAAGATTTGAGCCGCAGAATTTCACAACCTCATCACACCAATGATATACTACCGTTGGTGGACATATAACCAATGATGGTAGTGGCCTACATTCTGTTTTTTTATCCAGCTATAGTACATACGTATATAGATAACAATCATAGTTTATTAACAAAAACGGATGGTTACATAATTTTAATTTGGCCACATGAAGCCAGATATCGATAAAATTTTAGAATTCAATTTACCTTGTACTTGGCGTCAGTTGTCAAATGATCACTAACGATCATGCATAAAGCCTGTAAGGTCTTTCCAAGCCCCATATCTAAATGAGATAGAATGAAAAGTTACTTTCCTCTAGCTAAAAATTCGAAATAAATAGGTTTAATGCACCAAAAATTCACCGTCACACAGGATGCCGTGTAGATTGTATTTGTTTAAAAAAGCAAGCCAATTTATACCGTCCTATTAATGCAATAAAGAATATTAATATTACAAGTTAATATCAATAAATGTATACCCTGACAGATGATATATGATGCTTGATATCTATAAAATCAACCCGCCTTTTGGTATTTGCGAAGATCTGCTTTAACTTGAAAAGGAATAGAATAACTATTCAGTTTGCTAGTATCTTGTAACTGTTCAAGGAAGATCCGATCGTTTTTCTTTTGCTTAATCGTTGCTTCATCCATACCGACAGGGTCCTGTGTACCAGCCTAGAAGTTATTATTACAAAGATAAGTTATAATGAATCTCATACTATTAGGTTGATTTGATATCTCAGACATACACACCTCCAAAGGCATCAATTTAATCAATGTAGCGAACGAATGTGATGCCATCTGTCTTACTGATTCACACCGATCACTCATTCGGCTAAGGACGGGGATGACCAATAAAACAATATAAGGCACCACTCCAATACTCAGTTTATCAATTACGTCTGGTGATTAATAGTTAAGGGACGATTGTCGACAAACGTTAATTTTTATTTTTAAAAGCTTTTCTACTTCTTAGTTATGCCATAAGTGGCAATTATATAAGCACTCAATAATCTATTATGAAAGCGTGGATACTAGCTATAACTTCTATAGACCCTTCCCTAAAAGCATCACGTTCAGTATCACCAAGCGCTGGTATGATTTTTTTAATTATCATATCCATGACTCCAACCAAATCCAGCGTTGCCAAAACAGCTAAGCAGCGAGCTGCTAAATGTCGCACAGCTGTATAGGGAAAAATCGCACAGTGCAAGATTTGTTGATACTGCGACCTCAAGACCTTGACATTGATTTAAAATTATACATGTTGATTAATTTCGAAAAAAGATTTGGACTAATGAAGGAACGAAAGCCAATTTTACCTTTTCATGTAAAGAAGCATCAATCGATGGTGCCAGCACTTCTAGTATCTGAAGTGCTATTACAATTTTTTGAGATGCAGCATCCTCTTTATATTTGGTAAAATCTAACGTGCGGTTGCAATTATGTTTCAGTTATATTAGCTTCAGCAATAATAGTGCGTTAATCTATAAAGTTCAGCTTACCAAGTTCGTGTAAAGCATCTTTTGGAGACATTAAAGGAACCATTAAATGATTTGAACAGAACGGCAATTTCTCAAATAGCGATCTACCAAAGTACCGCGCGATAGTTGTCACTGCTCGCTCCGCTCCTATTCTTTGAATCTGAACTTGATTAGACTATAATTGAATTTAAAGTGAATACAATCATGTTATACGCAAATATATCGTAAATAATTTATTGTTACTTGAACAACTCAGTTATTACATCTTTATCAGCGAAATTCAACATTGGTAAATCAATCGCAGGAGAAGATACATTACAGATCTTGGATGACTTTCTTCCTGTACCAGCAGTTAGTACAGCATCCTGTAATAAATTCAAGTGTATATGTACTTTGCTACCGATCAAAATTTATGGAAGAATAAATATAGTACCTTATGTTGATTAAATAATGTTATAATTCCTGCTTCCTTGTTACATGTAAATGAAACATCAAAGGGACTAGCGGTACCAGGAGAGATTGGAGTACTCGGCTTGCCGGTTACAGGTGATGCTAGTAAATTTTGAAGAATCCAAAAATTTGAAACATCTGGAGTTTTACTCGGATCCGTACACAAAAGACTACAGAGATTTTTGAATATTTTGGGGTTCGGACATGGTAATCGGTTAATGCATTTTTCAAGCAATAAGGATATACTATTTGCTGCCTTCATCTATTTTTGATAAGTAGACATAGAAAGTAAAAGTAAGACTTTATGAATAAACTAAAAGAATTTTTCTAATGAAAGAAGATGTCAGCAAGTAATATAATTACTGTGCGTACTTGAAAAAGTTGATTATCTTCTTTCTTTATAGAATCCATTAAAGGTCTTACGATCGGATTGAATTTTTCCGTCAATTGACCCCAAGCGATCAAAGCACCAGCAATAACACTTTCTACCCTAAAAGGGAATAATATCTTTAACTAATGACAAGCTCTTCTTGTATGATATCAATGTAACAAAAGTCATCGTATTACTTTGTTCGCCATCTATCCATCATTAATTTTAGATCGTTTATGACTGGAACTAGTGCTTTAACTTTGCTGATAATTTCCTAAAGATCCAATGATACAGTCAATTATACTAAGGGAGACGGTTTAATTATTTTTCATACGAAAAGTAAAACATATTGTCACCGTTTGTGAAATAATTATTAGTTGTTTTAAATGTAAAATTTACTTACCTTACTGCTTTTAGCCTCACTAATAGCAAAATTGCAAAGGCGTATCGCCTCATCAATGGTAAACTCCCTATGGATAAATTCATAAGAGTATAATAAATTAATGCTAATAACTATCACTAATTACTAACAAAAATTACATATCGCAGATTTAGTAACAGCAATAAAAACAAACCCAGCAGGTATCTTTATTCTATCTCTAAAGCCAGCTCTAACGAGATGTATAGCTACAGCCTAAAGCGTCCCGAAATTATTTAAAATATCATTATAAGTTGAAATCACGCTATCAGAATTGAACTAATATGAATTACCTTGGTTCCTGTCTGCATACTATCATTCATAGTGAATAATTCGTCATAGATGCCAGGCTCTTGATTTAACAATAACGCCAATTTATTTGTAAGGGTTCTTGGGAAACATTTTTCCTACATGGTTGTAAAAGTTGCACTAGTTAGACCGATCAAAGAATTATAATATAAATCTTAGATTTATTTGCGAGTAACGCTGACATACCAAGTCGCTATTGTATTCCTTGCGTGCAATAGACGCCCAATCGTAAAGGACTAAACTAGTACACATAATATTCACGGCAGAATTGGTATTCAACGCACTCATTAAGAATTCATTTAAAATACGATAGGACAGTGAAGTAGAATTTAGTTTCATAATATGACAGCATAAATAGCCCAGTGCCCTAAATTAAAAAAATCGATTTAATAAAATGCAAGCTAAACTATAAATTGCTACTAGAATAATATCAAACAATGATAATAACAATTTCGACAATACAGCAGAACTGATTTAACAAATAATATTATAATGATTACCTGGAAGCACCGAATCGAGCTCTTGTATCAGCATTTTCGATTGTTGTTGGATCATCAGCAGAGATGCAACCTCCAATAAATGAATTTATGGTCGGTTCAGATTCTTTCGTCGGGAGTAAAACATGACCTTCAATGTTTTGCCTCTGTCTTGTCATAAGCAAGTACAACCAAGTATTAAGGGATTTTTCACACGAAAAGTTTAGGTCAGATAAAGAGCAATGCATAAGAAACGACCGCCAAACCTAATTTTTTTAATTTACAATTAGACATATCATTAACAATATGTAGAAGTCAAAATATGCAATATGATATATATATACAGTACCAATACTTACATCTAGTAACATATCAAATATTTTAATATTACTTTCTAGGATAATTCTCTGATAAAGAAAACGAAGCGTCTTATTTATTATATCAGGTGTCCATGAACACTGGGCTGGAGGTTCGCCTGATAATTTAATAGAAATTTATTAATAACGAAATCTTACCGTACGACATATGGAATACTATCAACTGCGAATTAATTAGAATTATTATAATTTCGTCCTTACCATCAATATCATTTGATTCTAATAAGGTTCTAAGCGTATCAAGTGCAGCCTCACGAACTGATGCTACCGTATGTGACATTGGCGGCCAAAGACTTGGGACTAATTGATGGAAAGGTTGTAAGGATAAGCAACCTGCTTTTACTGCTCTTAATGATAGTGACGATAAAAGTGTCATGATACTGCTAGTCGATGTTGTAAGATCATCAAGATTTTTAACGCTATCCCATAGAATATTAAGTATAGATGTAATCTGAAAGAATTTTAATGATAAAATATCAATAACTGAAATAATAATTATACTAGAACTACAATAATTATAAATTAAATCTACCTTGTTTGGAAATGTTTCAATTAAGTGTTGCGTTACGGGTACCAAAGTGTCGGCAGCAACGGCTTTTACATCATCATTATGGTCCTTTAATGCTTCAAGAATTGATGGTAATATAGACGGAAGAACTTCCCTTACTATGGACTAAATAGAAATTATATTGTAGGTATTGATTAAATATTGAAATTTTCAACTATTTTAATAGTAAACATATATTTTTTGTAACGTATATATATGTATACCTGTTTAACCGCTAATAAATACTTAATCCCAAGTAATCCACCATGTCGTGCTTCCCAATTCGAATGTTGCTGCATAGATAGGCACAAATGTAAAATTTGTTTAGCATTGTCTTCACTCATGTGGTGTATAGCTGCCCCTAGAGTTTGAGCACAGGTTTCCCGGACAGGAGCTACAACCTATATGATTAAGATAGATATATATATAGAACTTGCCGTTTACCTCAGCATTTCTAAGAATATATATTTCTCTACCTCATCCGAAGCGAAGTCGCCAAATTTATCAAGTGCTAGAACGCAAACGAGCTTGAGTGCTAGTTTTGACAACCAAGTTGCGTTTTGAAGTTTTTGCTATAATAATATGGGAATTAATAAATCAGGCTATAGGCCTTTAAAAATGACTTTAACGAGTCAATCGGTTGATAACTTCATTGCTAACCGTTTCTATAGGGGCTTCATTTGTATAACCGGCTCTGATTCCATGAAGTTTAATTATTTCACGTAAACCGATAGCCGCACCCTGTCTTACCTAAGTTATAGCCAATGTTGTTTTGACTGTTAGTAACTGTGAACAACATTCGGTATAAAATGAAACAGACAGTATACAGTACTGTAAAATTTTCTTTCTATCAATTATGACGAGAAAAACTGATGACAAACCTCCCATTCTACATTAAATAACTCTTTCACTAGCTTATCGCAAAACCACGCAAACGGCCATTTACTTTGAGGCTAATGATATTGGTATTACCAAAAAAATCAGACGGTACATGAAATACTCGTGTAAGTATAAAGTATAAAATATTAATATCCATATTGGCAAATATGCAATAGATACGCTAAAATCAGATATATTGCTACCTGATCTTTAGTTATTATAGCCTCTCTATCACCCTTGACTACCTGTTCCATCCCTTCCATATCTACTTTTAAATGCCTAGTAAATGAGTTTGATAATAATTAATAGTATTGTCCTTGATATCTTAATTTATGCTTAAAACAAAATTAGTAGTGTAACATACATTTTTTTTGCTACTGGTAGCTCGGCAACTTCATTATCGGCTCTTCTCTTTAGTGGTGCAATAGGAAAGTTATCTACTACTAAAGCTGCAGTAATTTCTTGTTCGATAATTTTGAGTGGGCTCCTATATACCTAATTTTAATTGTGTGATAATGGCATTAAATCACTATTTTAATCTTATAATTTTAGATTATTATCTAATGATCACAGCTATTTCGTTTAATTGATGTAAGATACTACGATTGATAGGTGAAGCTGAGATAAAATGTCAACTCGCGCGGTTAGTTCACTATAATATGTATCCATGTAGAAGAATAAGAGTATGACTAACTCGTCCTGATAGTTCTTCAGTAGAATGGAGAACTAAATCTTTATCGTCAAATAATTCTTCCGTACCAAATACATCTAAGTATAAACAACGGAGAAGAATGTAAAATTGTTAATAAATATACAGAAAAAGTGTATTATTTTAAACCTTACTAAATATACTAAATATTATATAATTTTCTATAAGCATACTATTATTATTTAATACATTGCATACTTATGTGGATATTTACCCTGTGGTGCTCCTTTAATAGTAAACACCTTCTTTAACGCTGTTTTCTGTTCGGCAATTTGCTGACTGACTGGTATGTCTTTACTTGTTAGTTGTTCACTTTCATTATCGTGGACAGATGATACCATAACAGAAGCAGATTGCATTACACGAGTCAAGTTAAATTTATCGACATTGACTCCCTTTACTTTTGGTAATGATGTACCTGTAACAGCATGTAAAAGATTTGAATAAGCAAATCTACATATCGTAATCAGTAATGAGATGATTAGGGATATATACAATTAGTAGGATGTTATATGACGTAAAAAATCAATACACAAAGCTAGTCGCTATGGTGTAACCAGGGTTATTAAATTCGCTTTTAAAGCAATTCTCCTTAAAATGTCATTTTCATTTTGTATATTTGTTACAGATATTGTAATTTTAGCATGATTAAAGATTGAAGTTAGTCGCAAAGTAGCTTCCTTCGTTGATTGCCTTATAAATAATTACTTCGAAACGATAGAAATCAGATATATGAAGGCTCAAGTATACTTACTGTTACGACAATTGAAACTTGGATTCCACAAAGGTACATTTTTAGCAATTGCTTCTACAGCTTCGCCTGCAGCGATTCTAGTATCCCAATTTTTTTTGGTAAAATAAACAAATACCTAACAGGTAGATTTATAATACTTAGAGAAGGTATAATTTGGGAATAAATAAGTCGAAGATATTTGAACCAATTTGATTAGAAACATGCTATTAGTATATTGGATCTATTCCAATGATAGTGATTTACAACTTATGCGAATATTCATATGTATAATTTAGAATTTTTGTTAACGCAATACATCATTGAAGGAGTACTCTAAACTTTACTGAATTGAGTGGCCTAACTGCAGATATGTTATTGTCAATTTCATCTTCAACTTAGCAGAGTGTTTGCATCACGATCTAGCAGCTATTCTCATATATTTGGTATAATAGAATACAGCCATAAGTGTGGTACCTCTGTTATTGTGATGTACGATTTTTAGTATTTTTATGCTTGTCTATATCATTTTCCAGGCACTCTACTTGTTGATCGCTATTCACATCCAGAATATGAAAGGAAATATTGTACTCAAAATACACTGTAAATAGTAGCAGTATCTATTCGTCTAGTAATACACATATAACTTTATTATAATGCATTTATGAGTAAAGTAGTTAAGCATGACTATATTGAACTGTATCCACGCTTAAAGATATAGATATATCTATCTGGTAAACGTTACTAGGTATGCCCTTTAAAATAAGTGCACTTGACGCATCAAACAATTGTGCATACAGAATCATCAAGTTAATTACTGCACTGTACTGTACAGTACACATTATGTCATGATGTAATTGCTTGAACGGTATTTTGATGCTATTAGGGTGTACTTATGATAAAGTTGAACGTGTTCACTGTAAATGGTTTGCACATTCTGAAATGAGAATGACTTTAATCTAATTCTCATGATCAATTTACGGCAATTTCATAAATTTCTATACTGTCCATATTGTCATTTTATAATAATAATAATAATAATAATTATTATTGTAAAGCGTTGAGGAGGCAGGCGCTGAAGGGTCTAATGTTACCGCTCACTACAGTACTTGACTGTACAGTACTGTACTTGAGAATAAAAAACACTGTACTGTACTGTACTGTATTGTAACGCCCAGTACTGTACAGGTTACAGTACAGTGTACTGTATGTACAGTACTGAAGACTGTGGTTTGACTTACTTTGTTGAGCAAGTTGTCTAGTTCTTCCGGATGAAGTTTTACTATATCTCCTAGCTGCACCGCTGCTGCTCGCTTAATCGCTGAATGAGAACCACTGTCGAGTAAGATTAATAACCTGTCTAGCCTGTATAAAATTGAAGCCACAACAACGATGTTAACACCAAAGCAGGCAGATACGATGACAAGTTCAATGATACAGTGGCAAGTTATCACAGTGAAATACTTTCAATTTGGAAAGGTAGAGGTCGAAATGGATATGATTAAAACTGTTCAATACTCTCCATAAGATGATATCAACATCATACTGTACAGTACCGTACACTATTGTAGTACCATTAGAACAGAACAAAGTTGGCGTTTTGCGAAAGTCATTCAGAATTCTTCTCCTACTAATCCTTATTTAACTTAGAATAAAACATCATTTCTAAATGATCGCTTAAATACCTAGTATCCATTGCTTCTCTTTGAGTGGATAAAGTAGAAATGCTTGAATTCAACCAATTTCCAATAAAAAGCTAGTGTTGGTAAATGTATCCAAGATGCCTTTCTATTTCTAAAATCGATACAAACTATAATATTGTGTTTGTGTCAGGTAAATGCAGCATTATTCTAATACTCATTCACTACTTTGGACAGTGTACTTGAACGTTTCTTGCTAGTAAGAATCACTGACAATTCATTATAGAAACCTACGCTCTAAACTGATGTACAGTACGTTCGCTTACTGCTGTCAATGCGGTAACGCTACAAGTCAACTTGGATAGGTACAGTCTTTTACGGCTATGACTATAAACTACTATGGAGTGCAGTCAAGACTCACTAGCGGCGACGGCGTAGTACAAGTGCGTAGAATGCGGAGTTCGAGTGTCAGTGCAGAGTGGAGGTTTGTATTTATATACCATCCATCGACATAACGGTGGCAAACCTTCTACAGTCCTTTGACGTCAGTGCAACTTGTCACGTGCAGATACTGTACCGTCATGGTACCGTACGGTTACAGGGAATGACTTTTGCATAGTTTTCCAAATACTGGTCTGTTGACTACAGTAGTGGGTCTTCTACTGTACTGTGCACTACGCTACAGTACGGTAGAAGATGGGGCGTAATCATGTTGCATCATGTACAGTACTGTACACTGTACTGTACAGTATCATCCATGCTGTACAGTGTACAGTACTGTAATATTCAATACTCAATATGATATGATTAATTGATCGCGCACTGTGAGTCTCGTTGTGACTTGTGAGTGTGACTTTATGAGTAATCCAGTCACTGTACAGTACAGTAGTAAATAAATAAATACTGTACAGTACTGTACTGTACTGTACAGTACAGTAAATACAGTACAATGTACTGTAAATCAATCAATGGGGAAATACTGTACAGTACAGTGTACAGTACATTACAGTACTGTACAGTATTGCAAAACTCGTAAAAGAACAACTTACACTGTACAGTACTGCACTGTACTACTGTGGCCCAGAAAGGAAACGCATGCGGGCACTATTGCGGTGTACTGTACAATACTGCACAGTTTAGTGTACAGTACTGTACCCTAACCCTAACCCTGTTACAGTTGGGTCAAACATCGTAAAACCTTGCGTGTCCCTTCTGGGCCACCGTAACGTACAGTACTGTACTGTCAACTGCGCCAGTCTAAAGTACCGTACAGTACAGTACTATAACCCTAACCCGAACATTAACATGTACAGTACTGTACTGTACTGTACACTACTTTAAAATTAGAATTTCATATAATTTCAATCATCGGGAAAGACTTATGAGACACTTGATACAGTATGCGCAGTAGCAAGGACTGCTAAAGAAAAAATTTCACCCTCCCCCCCCCCGTTTTCCTTCAAAACTTCCCTACCGTCTAAAAAGACCGGGGACGTACAGTACAGTACAGTACTGTACATTAGACATGGTTTGACATACCGTACAGTATCTACAAAAAATCCAGAAATCGTCCAATCTCACGCGGTGCAAATTAAATCAAGCAATCGCACGGCGATGGTGCAGGACACAAATTTGATTCGCGCCACGTGAGATTGGACGATTTCTGGATTTTTTTTTAGATATGTCAATACATGTCTAATGGATCAGTAGGACAGCTTAGACGAAGTGTACAAAGTAATTGATGCAAAATGGTTAGGGCTAATGCGCAGGAATAGTCTGTAATGGGGTACCTTGAGCTATCTAATACTGAGAAGTACAGTACATGTCATGTTTAGTTTCTTTTGAAAGACCGTACAGTAAGTACCTCCATGTAGCCTTCTGCTGACATTCAATCTTCAATCTGCTGTCGAGTCTGCATAGTCTGCGACTGCACATTGCACACTTACTTTTCTCATTTTCTTATACCATACAGTGTTCACTGTACAGTACTGTATAATATCGTATCTCTATGAGAAATTCTAAATGTCAGTAAAGTAATGATAGTACTGTATGTACATCAGGGACTTCCAAAATGTTTCATCGTACAGTGTTCTGTATTGTACAAGCATACATGAAATTTTTGTTGTTAAATATCCTTGAAGCACAGTAGATGTAATAGGATCGCGAATTGTACGGTATATGTCATTTGACCTATTCAGATTCTTTCAGATGATGATCGGGATAATAGACTTTGTGGGACGAAGGAGCAGTCGTATGCATGATGTACACTTCATTCATTTGCGGCCACATGTTATTTTTAACCAATTGTGATAGAGAGGGACAGCATTGGACGAGTCTCCCAAAGATAAACTATGAAAATTTTTTGATAGCCAGTTGATACCCGTCTCTAGTTCTGTGACGCTGTACTGTATGTGGTTCTCAAATAGTGTTAAGATCAACTTAA